CTAACAACACAAGTGATGCTTGATACAATTGCGAGAATCCAAGGCCATAGTGCACTCCTTTGATGCAAACCGTGTTCATAGACCACATCCTCATGGTCTGACGGAGAGGGTATAACCAAATGCCCACCTTTGAGTCAAAATGAAATGGCTTTAGAACATCATACCCTTGCTTGTGTGTAAGGTATCAGCATTTGAGTGCGAGCTATTGAGGGTTGAATTGATGGAATCTCCTCCCATTGCTTGGTCACTGGGTTTCCAACCATGAAAGGCCTTTTGGAATATGGAAACCACGAGAAGATATTTCCCTGACTACATGCGACCCATGCGGGGCAAACCAGTTCTCAATAGATATTTCTTTCCCCATCAGACTCCATGCTGGATACTTCCAGAAGCGTCTGAGCTCGTTGAATGAAGTATACCCTTGGTGCAGAAACAGGAACTTGGTGTGGGTTTTGTTCATCCATTGTTCCGTGAAGTATGGATGCCGTTGCAAATGAAACCATTCCTTACACACCGGCTGCAGTCGCAAAACATCTTCGGCTGGTAGAAAAGACAGTATATGAGCATTCCATCTCGACTGGGCTTGAGCGTGAATCCATGCATCTGAGAGGAAGCTCTCGGTAGATTTGATGAACGAGAGAGAATCATACCTTCTTCCCAGAGTACGCGTTCAGCAAATAGAGAAGCCTAATTTTGCCACTAGCGACTTCCACGGTATCAACACCCACGAGACGGAGTTTAAAACACTCGATGCATCGGAGAAATCAATCACGTCATACCTTATCAAAAGACCTTACGTCCCTACGTCAAACAGCTTGATTTCTCAACTAGGCCTTGCTGAAGACGGTCTGAGAAAGTTCCGAAAGAAAGGAAAGAGGCTTTTCTTACTTCGCAAACGTTGCTGCGCAGATGCCACAACCGGACAGTGTGATCCAATTACATGAACGAATCGTTCTTCGGAGACACTTCACGACCAAGCACTCCATTGCCTTTTCGTAGAAGACGTCCTGGGAAGATTCGTAACCAGAATTACTCCAGGTTGCTGCCTGTTGACAACTCATCGTCAGACACTCTAAAGCGCGGCACAGTACGAAGGAATGGATGAACCTAGTGGTGAGGAAACTCAGCACACAGCATGGACAAAAGGAGTTTGTAACAGAAGTCTCGGCTCTGGGAAACATAAGCCGCTTCCGATGCTTCAGAAGGCTGCTCGTCTACGAGCTCATGTCCAATGGTTCCTTGGAACAGATGGATTTTTTTCACTAGCAAGAACAAACTGGACTTGAAACTTCGATAGGACAAGCTTTACTTTATCACGATCACAAAGAACAACACCAGATCGCTCAAGTGTGTCAACGTGTGGGATTCACACGGCAAGGTGGCGACTTTGGCAACGTGGACGAGTCTTCCCATGGGCTTGCATCAAGAAACATACAATGGATGCCGGAATAATAACTCCTCACTTGTTTACTGCGCGGGTAAGTTTCTTCTTTTTCTTTTGTGATTTCTACATGTTTGTGATTACTGAGTTTCAGGAAAGCTGGTGCTTGCAAACTTGATTCCAGACAGTGTCGATACACAAACCCAAGTTGGTTTTGTCTATCTGGATGAAGCATCCAGACAGTGGCAACCCTTGGCAACTATGCCTAGAGAGATTATGCCGGCAGAGCTTAGAAAAGTTGGGCTGCGAGCAGGCAATATGCATGAGTGGAGTTTGATAGTGGCGGGAGGGGAGACCGAGATCACCTTGTTCATAACTCACTTAACTTTCGGTTGGGGTTGCATTTACAGTAAAGAAACCGGTATCTGGCGACCAGCTTGTGGCCTAAGGTCCGAAGGTGGTATGCTGTATCCTTTCAAGCCATCATTCCATCCAGTCTCCATTTAGTTAGAATCATCATACTCCCATTTAAAGGTGTCATGTAATTTAAGAATGAGTATGGGAGGTGAAGAAAATTTATAAAAACTTTTTTTCCAAACGAATATCCTAAATAAATATTTATTTTTTAATACAACAATTTTTTTTCCAAGTTTTATTGTGAGAACATTCAACACAACAGCTTCCCAAATTCACGAAGGTAATTGCCCAGATATTTCATGTCATTAAACAAAACTCCACGACCTTGCAAAAGTTCTCTTACAACCATCTTGCGACGGGCAGCCTCCAATTCATCTTCAAACGGATCTGATCGTAAGGTTCTGGCTTGGCATAGAGCAAGTTCATTTCTTATCCCAGGTTTGTTCTTACCACCTTTTCTTGAAGAATGGATTTAAATCCAGAGCGACACTCACACTGGGCTGAAATTTGGTATTGATTTCTGTTAGAAATATTATCTATCAAAACACACCCGATTATCAATCTCTACCAGGTAGGTACATGGCTTTTTATTTTTCTGGTACTGGTCACTTTTTCCTTCCATATCAGCCAGCTGGAGTTGTGGCTATAGAACGTATTGTGCTGAGAGAAATCTGCAGAATGCCAATGAAGTTATACAGCGTTTGCCATGGACAGTTCGATCATTAAGCTTGGGAAAGCTTGGGAAATACATTTTTCTAGGATGGAGTGGTTTTGCGCTGCTCTTTGTGTTTGCGTTGGAGAAAAAATTTTATGGGATGCCTCTGGTGGAACCAAAGAGGATCTCTGCCAAAGAAGGAGATTTCGGAAGAGTCATTAGTGAGAGACATTATCAAACTCAGTATCAGCCCAGCAGCACCATTGCTGGCATTTGAGTGCTCCTAAACCAAAACCAGAGCCTGGTTTAGGCTCCACCACGGTAACCATCCCGACAAGACCACCTTCGGGCACGAATTTTATCGGAAGCACAGCTTGAGAAGCAAGGGTCTTGATTTATTCTGGCGTGCTGATCTTGGTAGCATTTGTTCGATTGGCCTTAAAAGAATTTGAGGTCCGAACAAATCAAGAGACCTCTGGAAGTTTGGCAGTGCTCATATTATTGTTTCATCGTGTTCTTGTGTGAGATGGCAAAGTATACAACACTCATATTCGTCGTGCTTTACTACATGCTTGGGTACTCTTGACAAACTGGCTACTTTCTTCGGGTTACGTTCTTCACCACCTTTCCTATCTAAGACTAATAAGACTACAAGCTCTCTTTGATTAACATACCTGACCAACATCCTTTTACAATTTGGACACGTCGGGTATCCAAAACGCTAAAACATACGAGGCAGTCGCAAACATGAGCCTTCGCGGAGGCCATTTCACCACGGCAGGAATTCCAGCGTTGTTCGTCCAGCACGCTACCTGGAATTCAATCAAAATAAGTCTTTTTTTTCCTCTTTTTTAGCACGAGAATTTCTCTCACCTCTGCACCGCTTAAGGAGCTCCATATTCTCAAACTTCCATCCCCGGCCGTGTTACGAACACGGCCGGGATCCCGGCCGTGTTCACCGTGTTTCACGAACACGGCCATGGGTCGTGTTCCCACGGCCGTGTTCGTGAACAGTGGTCCGTGTTAGTAACACGGACCACTGTTCAGAATATTCTCGCGCGGAATATTCTGGTTTTAGGGCGCACGCATATTCCTATAATAATATAATAAGAAATAGAATATAATTTTTAAATAACATATTCTTAGAATATTCAGTAGAATATTCGTGAGCCATTGTGGGCCGTGATCGTGTTCCGTGTTCGGGTTCCTGAAATCTGAGGCTCGTGTTCCGTGTTTGTGTTCGTAACTATTCCCTGGAGCCTGAGATTCAATACTTATAGCTATCAGGAACTGATACAAACGAATGTTACCTGAGATAACATAGCGACCGTCTGGACTGAACGATGCTTCCAACGTTTCTCCGTCTCGACTGGGCTTGAGCGTGAATCCATGCATCTGGGAAGGAGCTCTCGGTATAGACTTAACGAGCGAGAGAGAAGTTTACCTTCTTTCCAGAGTAGGCATCAAGCAAATACACCCGGCTGTTTGTTGTGGAGAGAAGCATCATTTTACCATCGTTGCTAAACTTCATGCCAGCGACTTCCGCGGTATCACCACCCACGAGAAAAGTGTCAAAAGGTCCCTGAAGCATTCGTTCGGACTTTCATAAAATTATTGGAGAATCAATCACATCTTACCTTGTCGAAAGACCTTCCGTCAAACAGCTTGATTGCTCCGCCTTCCATGGCAACAGCAAATACCAGGCCTTGTTGATCATACGCCACAGACAGTCTTCCCCGGACTCTAAGAAGACCCTTAAATCATGGAAATGCTCTAGCCAAAGTTCTGGAAGAAAACGCAAGAAAAGAGTTTCGTTCTTTGGAGACATACATAGTGATACAACCCTGTGAGCAAAAGAAATAAAATAAGCATGGCCTTGGGTTGCTCCAAAGACTCACCTTTGCGTGTGTCCTCTGAAATATCGTAGAAATCTATTATCATACAACGATAGATACCGCAAGGACTCTGGAAACAAAGAAAGAACCTCAAACACACGAAAAAACGTTCTCTCTTACCATCACTTCCATTGCTGGAGGAAAAAATCACAGCATTGGTGTGATGCGTGAAACATATGTGATCCACGCCATATCTTGCACTGTAGAGAGTATTCATGGGCCTGGATGGAGCAAAGAAAAGGAAACTTGAAACCTCCCAAGAACTCGGGGGAAAAAATCACCTACGTCGCAGTGGCAGTATCGTAGAGCCGAATGGACGCGTCCTCCGCGGCAGTCACCACGAGATCCTCCGTGCGATGAAAATCCAAGGAGCTGATCTTCCCCCACTGTGGGACAAGATTGCTCCTGTAAGTTGATGAAAGACTTTCCATGTTTTGTTCACTCGAACGATGTAAACCGTGTGACTTGCAGGAACTTCGCACTGACGAGCAGGGCATTGCAAATTACCAAGGTCTTCCCTTCCAAACCTCTAAAGGACCATGCAAATCAGCAATCGTCAATGGATCAATCAAATGAGAGCGCAAAGGTGATCCATATTTCGTGAGGAAAAAATATTCTATATACTTTATAATAGATCAAACTTTTCAACTATAGATTGGTTTATCTGGGACCAGACGGCTGGTGTGCTACCATGGCCACACTGACGCTACCACCAAGATGGTTAGTCGAAGAGAACCGAAGAACTCCCGCAGAACTCAACGCAAACCGGAAGAAGAGAGGCGGCTCCAAAATCTCCTTTCGACCTTCGAGCATCTGGACGACTGTATCCATCGGGGGTCTTTGGCTGGGATTATCCTGGATGCACCACAGAGCTACCTGGAGCATACTTTTCACCTCGTCCTCGTCCACACTATCTCGGATCCTTGTATCCACGACTTTGAGAAACTCTCTCTTGGAGACTCGAGCTACGACCCAGGCCGGGAAGTACCACCACAAAGCTTGTTCCCCCTCGTCCATTGGAGCTTCACGACAGTCTTCTCCACCATGGCCGCCAAGCTTGGACAAGTTCCTTCGTCCACCTATGAGCTCCAGCAGCACCATACCATAGCTGTAGACGTCGCATTTCTTCGTGGCTACCGAATGTAAGAGCCACTCCGGGGCGAGATATCCTGGAGTACCTCGAACATCAGTCACGGTCTGGCTTACATCCCGAGTCTTGAGCAGCTTCGCCATGCCGAAATCGGAGAGCTTGGGACGAAACTTATCGTCTAGAAGGACGTTCTCGGGCTTGATGTCGAGATGGATAATCAGCTGCCGCGATTCCTCGTGCAAGTAAGCCAGGCCTTGAGCTACTCCCAAGGCAATATCGCGGCGGCTCTGCCAGTCCAAGCATCGATCTTCGAACAGCCACTTATCCAAGGATCCATTCACCACGTACTCGTAGACGAGCATGAGCTGGTTCTTCTCGGAGCAAAAGCCATAGAGCTGGACAACGTTGTGGTGGCTTATCCGTCCCAGCGAGGCCATCTCCGCCAGAAATCCCCTGTCACTCTGGTTCCGGTTCTCCAGGCGCTTGACCGCCACCTTTCTCCCGTCCGCCAGAGTCCCTTCATAGACGGTTCCAAAGCCGCCTTTACCAAGGCTCGAAGCGAAGTTCCCAGTCGCCACCTCCAGCTCCTTGTATGTATACTTCTGAGCCGAGCCTTGCAGTGCCAGAGCCAAAGCACGCTCAACTTTGTCAAGCCTGTGCTTCCAGATCATCAGCACGACCAAGCCGAGAGCTGATAGCAGGACCACGCTCGCAGCAATGCTGACTCCAAGCAAAACGGTGCGATCCTTGGGCTTCTTCCGCACGAAAAGCTCTGCGTTTTGCAGCTTGAGGAAGCCATCGAAGTTGGGATCCCTGGTGAGGCCTCCATACATCCGGTCGACGAAGAAACAGGTGCTCGACCGCTTGTTGAAGAAGAGTGCGCTGCAGGAGCAATTCGCTAGGCACAAGCTCCAGCACTCGCTCAAAGTGGAAACTCTGTCGGCCTTGGTGTAATTGTTGGAGAAGTAGCCTGCTCCACTCACGTTGAGAAAGTGGTGGTTCTCGGCCTCGACTTCGTGGTTGCAAACGAGAGGTATGCTGCTCGGACTTGGGCAAGTTTGCTCCTGATGGCCACTCTGGTCTTACAGCTGCACTGAGCGTTCCCAGAGCAAACGCTGTTCGACTCGCATGCCATCGGGAGGCAAACGCTGTTCGATTCGCATGCCATCGGGAGGCAACCTCCAAGTCTGTTCCTCATGAACGGCGGACCCTGTTCCCACGAAGCTCGTCCAGAGTTGTAGGTGTAAGGAACCAGCTTCCCATCGATTTCAAGTTTGAGATACTGCCGGTCATCGCTGCTGTTCCCGAGTACTGCTGTGAGAGGAGCGCTGCAGAGCTGGGAAGGGTTGCTCGTCGATGGCTGGTACGATAGTATCAGTTGGCCAGCGGAATACTCGAGCTCTGTGTGATAAGTCGGGCATGGTGCGTTGATGGAAGTCTCGTCCATTGGCAAGTTTCCATTGTATAAGTTCCAAACCAAGTAAGGCTGTCTTGTGTGCCGGTTGAGGAAAAAGATGAGACCGCTCGGCTCAACTTCCATCTTGATGTTCCCGCTAGCAAGACTTGATGAATTGGCGCTGCTGATAAGTCTCTGCTTAGTTACCATGACTTGTCCTTCTAAAAGGATATCTGTAGGATGGTCGAAGCTCTGCCAGGAGATCCCACCCGTGGAGTTGTAGAGGACAAAGTTCCCAGTGTCTCGAAGCTCCATCTCAGAAACTCCACCAGGAGAACTCCATACAACCTTCCCATCCCAATCGGCAACTTCCAGAGCTCCCTGACCGGTCACACGAACGGTAGCATTTTCTGTCACAGGACAGTCCCGGTTTGCAGCCCAGACGCAGACGCCAGAGTTCGTGTTGTTGCTGGAGCCAAGAACCAAAGCAAAGTAGAACTCGGCCGAGTTGTGGAATCGAAAGAAAGACAAGCCAAATCTTCCGCTCTGGCTCATGAGAGGACTGTCACCTGCTCGGAGCAGCCGATAACTGGCATTGGCCTGTGATCCTTGCAATTCCAGAAGCTGATTGTTGTTCGTTACTTCCCAGCCGTGTGATAGACTGTAGTTCCTGCCGTGCACACGAAAGAGAATTGTCATCAGCTGAAAGAAAGCGACCAAAAAAATCTTCATAGCCATGAACCATGAAGCAGAATGCGCTAGCTATTTTTGTATCTATAGAACGGGAGCGGTCCATTCACTTGACTCATTCATATTCATACTTCTTCCACTTATTCCAGTCTCGAGTACCAACTGTTACCGAAAGTTTGATTAGTCTTTGCTTGAAAAGAAGTCTAGTCTTCAAGACTTTTCCAAGTCTTGAAAGTAAGGACTTACGTCTCGTATAAGCAGGTGTTCTCAATGCAGAACGGCAGCAATGCAAAAGCAAAAGGTTTCACAGGTTGCTAAGGCGTTGTTCCTGGAACTAATAATGCTCCTCACAGTTACTTCTGAAGGGAAGTTGTACACGATACCTGATAAATGGCGCATTTTCATGAACAACAGTCTCCCAGAATTCCAAGGCGGTGGCAGATCCGGGAGTTATCGCCTGGTGAGTGCTCTTCCAAAGGATAACCCTTCTAGCCGGCCAGAATCTCTACGCAGCGACGATGAAAACTTGGGCTTAGCATTCCTCAACTTCAATGGATCAAACAAGTATTACCTGGCACTGATGTTTGGCACTCGCAACTCTTCCACAGCAGCTCCCGTCTGGATAGCCAACCGGAACGCTCCAGTGTCAGGAAATTCAATGCTCGCTAAAACAGGTGGTCGCTTACAGCTCCTGGATGCAAATGGTTCCGTGGCATGGTCTCCAAACGAAAGCGTTGCCTATATCGGCATTCAGAATTCCGGGAACTTGCAGCTCTTCGATGAATCTGAGACCCCGGTATGGAGTTCCTTTGATCGCCCATGGAGCGCACTGATGCCAAACCAGAAGCTAGTAACTGGACAGTCAGTTGTGAGTAACAAAAACGCCTCAGACCCCAGCGAAGGCTCGTATATCGCAGAGATACAGGCCAGTGGATCAGTCGGATACATGAGCATCGATTCCAAGAAAAAGCAGCCTTACATGTTGTGGAGCTTCGTCGGATCACAAATTGGCTCGCCCAGTGTAAACTGCCCAGGATATCGAACTGCTCTTTCATTCACGCCAGCAGGAGAAATGAGCATGGTATACGAACCTATTCGTGTTGGTGGTAACGAACAGCCGTGTGGCTCTCCACTGTCCGGGGAAATATTCCCAGGGAACACCACAATGAGGTATTTCCAGCTTGCCGATGATGGGACCATGGTTTCATACAGGCGAGAGTTGGCAAATGGAAGCTGGGAGCTCGATAGCACGAGTCAGTTCTTTCCACCGCCAGCGCCATGCGGGAGCTATGGGCTGCTCGAGAAAGGAAAGCAGTGTCAGTGCCTGACCAACGAAGCAAACAACTCTACTACCTCAGCACTTGGAAGTTGTGCCCAGCCAGAATGGTCTTCTCTTGCAAACTGCAGCTCCAGGTACGAGACCGACTTTGTAACACTCGCAGGTGCATCGTACTTCGCCAACACTTTCAACCCTCCCGATAGAACAGGCGCTGCAATGCAAGATTGCCTCGAGCAATGCAAATCCACTTGCTCCTGTGCGGCGTTCTTTTTCGACCAGGCGCTCCAGAATTGCTTTTTCATAGAAGACGTCCTGGGAAGCTTGACGGTAGACTCGAACAAGACTCAGCAACTGTTCGGCTTTCTGAAGTACCAGAATTACTCCAGGTTAGTGCCTGTTGACAACTCATCGTCAGACACTCCAAAGCTCCTAGTGATCGGAATTACCTCTGGAGGAGCTGCTGTAGCCATTGTAACTTTTGCGTTGCTTTTCACGATCCTGCATCGAAGGAGGGTCATGCTCGACGAACTAAACAGTTTCCTTAAACGCTCTGGGAAACATAAGCCACATCAACATTGTCAAACTCTATGGCTTCTGTGCCGATGCTTCACACAGGCTGCTCGTCTACGAGCTCATGCCCAATGGTTCCTTGGACAGATGGATTTTCTCCGACAACAAGAACAAACTAGACTGGAAACGCTATGGAATGGTGCTCCTGGAGCTCATTGGCGGCAGGAAAAATCTAGACTGCTCTAAGATGGAGTCGCCACTGAGTTGGTATTTCCCAGCCTGGGCCATGAGCGAAATCCGGAAAGGGAACACGATGCAAGTGGTGGATCCGAACGTCAAGGACTCGGCAGACACACCTTTGCTCGTTTTTCTTTCCAATCTCTAGCCACGACATTCCATTCTTGAAAAGAACCTCCAAATCTGATAAAAAAAAACTAGGAGATTAAAAAAAACACTTTTGTGCATAATTCTTACTTGAGAACGTTCCGAATTTAACAGATACATTAGTGAACCAGCTCGCACAAATTCTCCTGGGATCGCTCGGCTTGTTGGCATGCACCACAGCTCCAAACTTGGCTCCGACCGAATAAGCTTTCCGCAAAAAAGTCTCTTTTCATGTCAAGCTCAAGTTCTGGGAATCAAAAACCATAATCCATTTGCCCACGGTCAGAAAGGTAAGGTTTCCATGCGTACCTAGCATTGTACAGTCCATAGCTGTTGTTCTTTATTACATGCTTGGGTACTCTTGGCAAACTGGATACTTTCTTCCAGTTCCATTCTTCACCACCTTTCCTGTCCAAGACTAAGACCACAAGTGATAATGATCTGAGGAGACGAGGGTACATGGTCATGGCCGAGGACTAATCTGGCGCAGTAGAGCGCGGGACTCAGACTCACTCTGTCTCTCATGCGCGAGTGCACAATAGCTGCGCCAGCACCTCACGACCGCTCCTGTTTCTCCTGCAACTGTAAACGGTTGCAATTGAGAGCAAACTTATCCTTGGACGAGACTTGGTCAGCATATCAGCAAGCTGCTCGGTGGTCGAGCAAAATTGGAGGACAATAATGCCCTGCTGGACCTGCTCTCGGACATAGTGATAACGGAGTTGAATGTGCTTTGTCATGGAACTTTGATGTAGCTGAAAGAGCAATAGCGCTAATGTTGTCACAAAATAGCATCGTGGGCTGAACAAGAAAATGTCCAAGCTCTGTGAGCAATAAGCGAATCCAGACAGCCTCTTTGCGCGCTGAGCACGCAGAAATATATTCGGCTTCAGTAGACGACAGAGTTGTGATGCTCTGTTTCTTGCTCCTCTAAGTCAAAGTTGAGGCACCGAGAATAAAAACGTAGGCGGATGTAGATTTGCGGGTGTCTTTGTCACCAGCCCAATCTGAGTCGCAGTAGCCGCGCAAGTGGAATTGCTCATCTGATGTAAGCGCCAAGGATTTGGTACCTTTCAAGTAACAAAAGATGCGCTTATCCGCTGCCCAGTGAGCTAATCCGGGATTTTCAGAAAATTTCGCCACGACTCCCACTGCATGCGAAAAATCTGGGCGGGTACAAATAACAAGATAAATCAGACTACCAACAGCTGCACAATACGGAATCCTCTCCATGGAATTGCTCTCAGCTTCAGTGGTTGGAGACTGAGGTTTAGAAAGCTGAAGATTAAGCTCCATAGGTGTGGAAACTGGAGTACTGTCGTGCATATTAAAGCGTTTGAGAATTTCGTCCACATAGCGCTGCTGAGAAAGATGAATAGTTCCACGGGACCGTTCTCGAATAATATTAAGACCAAGACAAAACTTAATATCTCCAAGATCGTCCATCTCAAATTGAGAAGAGAGCTGCTCTTTGATCTTATGTAGAAAAGAAAGACAATTTGCTAGTAAGATCAAATCGTCGACATATAACGCAATAAGGACCATCATATTTTCAACATGTTTCTGGTACACGTTCTGATCAGCAGCATTTCTTGAAAATCCAATAGAAATGAGAAATTGGTCCATTTTGTCGAACCAAGCTTTAGGAGACTGTTTAAGACCATATAAAGCTTTCTTGAGGCGACAAACCATCCCGGGCTGCTTCTGATAACCCTCTGGTTGCTGGATGGAAATTTCTTCAGTAAGATCTCCATGCAAAAATGCTGTACGAACATCCATTTGATGCACCTCGAGATCATATTGAGCTGCTAAAGCTAGCAAAGCTCGAATAGAGGCCATGCGTACCACAGGTGAGTAAATCTCGGTAAAATCAAGGCCTGGGATTTGTGTAAATCCACGAGTCACATACCTCGCTTTAAACCGAACGACCTGATTGGCGGCATTCCTCTTAACTCGAAATAGCCATTTTGTTGAGACCACCTGGCGGTCAGCTGGCTTTGAAACGAGCGTCCCGTTCTTTTGAAGCGAGAGATACTCAGAATCCATAGCAGCTCGCCACTCCACAGCATGAGGACCTGTGAGCGCTTCAGTCACCGTTCTTGGCTCAGGAACATCGTTAGAACCAGCAAAATAAAAACGACTTGACCGCGACCTGAAAAAGTGTTGACTTTTTCAGGTGGAATGGAAAAAGTGAGATGGAAAAAGTGGCCGGGCAGAACGAGAATAGCCGACAGGGTAGAACCAGGCCGCTCAACTTCTGGGACAAGATCTAGCTCTGGTGACTCAGGTGGCGGAAAGGGTGGGGTTGATGTTTGCTCCGGTGGAAGCGACTGCGGATGAAGAGGCGGTGGAGGATTGAGTGGTGGTGGAGGAGGTTGTTGAGCTGCTGGTGGAGCTCCCACTGAAGCTGGAAGCACCGGAACTTCTTCCACAAGTCGCCAAGTTGAAGGAGTTGGAGTGGAAGTCTCTTTACATGGAAAGATATCTTCAAAAACCTTCACATCACGTGCTGGAAAAAACTGCCAGTCGCAAGCTTCAGCAATCGAGCAAGGTTCTTGGCATAAGCTAAGCAAGCAACCGAATACTCGAAAGTGTGCAACGGATGGCTTCTTTCCAGTCCATAATTCTTCTGGAGTGATATTAGAAAGAGTAGATGTTGGAAGACGATTGTGAAGATAAGGAGCGGTAACAATAGCCTCTCCCCAAAAAGATTTTGGACAACCAGCGCCAAGGAGTATTGCACGAGTAGATTCGACCAACGTGCGGTTCATGCGTTCTGCTGCTCCATTCTGCTATGGCGTCCCTGGAACGGTGAATTGCTGAACAATTCCACAATAGTTTTGAAATTTCTTGGAAACATACTCACCGCCATTATCAGACCTCAGGATTTTGAGGGATTTGCCAGTCTGCTGAAAATCCACGAAGAGGGAAAACACTTCACTTTTACGAGACATAACTCTCACTTCCACTCGCCTGGAATAATCGTCTATAAATGTGACAAAATATGTGTTGCCACCAAGAGAAGCAATTGGCATAGAACCAACATCAGAGTGAACTAGTCCAAGGAGATCAGCTGCTCGTTCATGAGAATTCTTCGGAAATGGTGCACGATGAAGCTTGCCTTGAATACACGGCTCACAAAAATCCAAAGGCTCCACTATATCCAGGTCACAAGCTGCAACAAGCTACTGCTTAACAATGCTGATGCACATGGCCAAAGCGTCGATGCCAGAGTTGCATCTTAGATTCCTTGGCCATAAATATACGAGGAGGAGGCACTAAAATAGCATCAAGCTTGTAAATATCAGCATACCTGATTGCCTTGACCCCATCAAGAGAAAAAATAATGCCTCGTTGATCTCCATAAAATTGACTAATAATCAGACTACAGAGTGGGAGTAGGCTTCTGCCACGTGGCACAGGGTAGTTAGGTCAGTCGCTGGTGGCCACGGCCATCCTATTTTCTCTCTTATTAGCGTCTCCTCAGATCATTATCATCAGATTGTAGATCCTGATGGTTCACCATGCTAGGAGAGACTTGTGCTTTCTGATCAACAACTGCCGACTACACAGAGTACGGCGGAACATGGGGAGCAGTAGTACTGCTGCCAGTGTATTGGAGCAGCGTTTAATCCTTTGTACAAGGAAGATTTTGCAAATTGGGCTGCCCTCCTGAAGGTTGTTTTCTTGCGTGATAATTGCGATGGGATTGTCACAGGCAAAGAACTTGAACCAGCCCAAGGTGCTCCCAAATTAGCAGATTGGAAGTGAGCCCTATCTACAATGGATATTAATTTAGGCAAGTAGTAAATTCTTGATCTTGATAATAATGCTTCCACAAATTAGACCAATCTAACCCAGTTTCTTGGTGCTCAAATGATTGAACTTATGGTCACATTGAAGGGCGAGTGCTTCACTTTAAAAGTGGATCCCCAATTGCCTGTCAAGAAATTTATCAAAGACATTCTCTACTATGAGAAGCGCCTTCAAGACGCAAAGCAGCCTCTGACTACTGTGGACAAGCAAGCAGCCCTGATCAATCTCATTCTTGATATCGAGGAGTATAAGGGTCTTCACACAACATTTCAGAATCTTCAAGGCCAGCTCACTTTTGAAGCAATGTGCTCATCTCTCAAGGAAGAAGAATGCCAACAGCAGAAATTGAAGACCAAGACTAAATCCAAAAGTGAGCTGGCCTTGAAGATTCTGAAACATTGTGCAAAGACTCTCACACTTCTCGATATGGTAAGATGCCCTTGCTTTACCAAAATATTCCTTTGGCACTTCGGCCATTTTTCCTTGACCCATCCCAGCCATTGATCAGGGCTGCTCGCTTGTCCACATTAGTCAAAGGCTACTTTGTGTCTTGAAGGTGCTTCTCATAGTAGAGAGTGTCATTGATAAATTTCTCGACAGGCAATTAGGGATCCATCTTTAAAGTGGAGAACTCACCCTTCAACGTGACCACATGTTCAACCGTTTAAGCACCAAGAAACTGGGTTAGATTGGTCCAATTTGTGGGACCATTGTTATTAAGATCAAGAAGATGAATGTACTGCTCGCCTAGACCAATACCTATTGTAGATAGGGCTCGCTTGTTGTGCAGCTTCCATACCTATTGTAGATAGGGCTTGCTTGTTGCGCAGCTTCCAGTCTGCTAATTCAGGAGCATCTTGGGCTAGTTCAGATTCTTTGCCTGCAACAATCCCATCACAATTATCACACAAGAAAACGACATAGCCCAATTTGCAAAATCTCCCTTGTACAAAGGGATTAAACGCTACTCTAATGCACTGGCAGCAGTACTATTGCTCGCCATGTTCTGCCGTACTCTATGTAGTCAGTGGTTGTTGATCAGAAAGCACATGTCTCTCCTAGCATGACCATCAGGATCTACATCTGAGGAGACGCTAATAAGAGAGAAAACAGGGTACATGGTCATGGCCGTGGCCACCAGCGTCTGACCTAACTACCCCCGTGCCACGTGGCAGAAGCCTGACTCTGACTAGGACTAACAATAAGCTCCTCATGCTCATCTGTTATATCTCTTTGAGTAACCATCAATTTAATATCGCCTCCAACTTCCAGCATGTGTGAATAAGCAAGTTTAGGTGTCCTATTGTCCCAAGCATACAGCCATGTCAAGTTCTTGACATTTGCCATATCATCATTCTCTAACAACACAAGTGATGCTTGATACAATTGCGAGAATCCAAGGCCATAGTGCACTCCTTTGATGCAAACCGTGTTCATAGACCACATCCTCATGGTCTGACGGAGAGGGTATAACCAAATGCCCACCTTTGAGTCAAAATGAAATGGCTTTAGAACATCATACCCTTGCTTGTGTGTAAGGTATCAGCATTTGAGTGCGAGCTATTGAGCTATTGAATTGATGGAATCTCCTCCCATTGCTTGGTCACTGGGTTTCCAACCATGAAAGGCCTTTTGGAATATGGAAACCACGAGAAGATATTTCCCTGACTACTTGCGACCCATGCGGGGCAAACCAGTTCTCAATAGATATTTCTTTCCCCATCAGACTCCATGCTGGATACTTCCAGAAGCGTCTGAGCTCGTTGAATGAAGTATACCCTTGGTGCAGAAACAGGAACTTGGTGTGGGTTTTGTTCATCCATTGTTCCGTGAAGTATGGATGCCGTCGCAAATGAAACCATTCCTTACACACCGGCTGCAGCCGCAAAACATCTTCGGCTGGTAGAAAAGACAGTATATGAGCATTCCATCTCGACTGGGCTTGAGCGTGAATCCATGCATCTGAGAGGAAGCTCTCGGTAGATTTGATGAACGAGAGAGAATCATACCTTCTTCCCAGAGTACGCGTTCAGCAAATAGAGAAGCCTAATTTTGCCACTAGCGACTTCCACGGTATCAACACCCACGAGACGGAGTTTAAAACACTCGATGCATCGGAGAAATCAATCACGTCATACCTTATCAAAAGACCTTACGTCCCTACGTCAAACAGCTTGATTTCTCAACAGCAAATACTAGGCCTTGCTGAAGACGGTCTGAGAAAGTTCCGAAAGAAAGGAAGAGGCTTTTCTTACTTCGGAAACGTTGCTGCGCAGATGCCACAACCGGACAGTGTGATCCAATTACATGAACGAATCGTTCTTCGGAGACACTTCACGACCAAGCACTCCATTGCCTTTTCGTAGAAGACGTCCTGGGAAGATTCGTCGAAGAGTCAGCAACCAGAATTACTCCAGGTTGCTGCCTGTTGACAACTCATCGTCAGACACTCTAAAGCGCGGCACAGTACGAAGGAATGGATGAACCTAGTGGTGAGGAAACTCAGCACACAGCATGGACAAAAGGAGTTTGTAACAGAAGTCTCGGCTCTGGGAAACATAAGCCGCTTCCGATGCTTCAGAAGGCTGCTCGTCTACGAGCTCATGTCCAATGGTTCCTTGGAACAGATGGATTTTTTTCACTAGCAAGAACAAACTGGACTTGAAACTTCGATAGGACAAGCTTTACTTTATCACGATCACAAAGAACAACACCAGATCGCTCAAGTGTGTCAACGTGTGGGATTCACACGGCAAGGTGGCGACTTTGGCAACGTGGACGAGTCTTCCCATGGGCTTGCATCAAGAAACATACAATGGATGCCGGAATAATAACTCCTGCGCGGGTAAGTTTCTTCTTTTTCTTTTGTGATTTCTACATGTTTGTGATTACTGAGTTTCAGGAAAGCTGGTGCTTGCAAACTTGATTCCAGTCGATACACAAACCCAAGTTGGTTTTGTCTATCTGGATGAAGCATCCAGACAGTGGCAACCCTTGGCAACTATGCCTAGAGAGATTATGCCGGCAGAGCTTAGAAAAGTTGGGCTGCGAGCAGGCAATATGCATGAGTGGAGTTTGATAGTGGCGGGAGGGGAGACGGAGATCACCTTGTTCATAACTCACTTAACGTTCGGTTGGGGTTGCATTTACAGTAAAGAAACCGGTATCTGGCGACCAGCTTGTGGCCTAAGGTCCAAAGGTGGTATGCTGTATCCTTTCAAGCCATCATTCCATCCAGTCTCCATTTAGTTAGAATCATCATACTCCCATTTAAAGGTGTCATGTAATTTAAGAATGAGTATGGGAAACGAATATCCTAAATAAATATTTATTTTTTAATACAACAATTTTTTTTCCAAGTTTTATTGTGAGAACATTCAACACAACAGCTCCCCAAATTCACGAAGGTAATTGCCCAGATATTTCATGTCATTAAACAAAACTCCACGACCTTGCAAAAGTTCTCTTACAACCATCTTGCGACGGGCAGCCTCCAATTCATCTTCAAACGGATCTGATCGTAAGGTTCTGGCTTGGCATAGAGCAAGTTCATTTCTTATCCCAGGTTTGTTCTTACCACCTTTTCTTGAAGAATGGATTTAAATCCAGAGCGACACTCACACTGGGCTGAAATTTGGTATTGATTTCTGTTAGAAATATTATCTATCAAAACACACCCGATTATCAATCTCTACCAGGTAGGTACATGGCTTTTTATTTTTCTGGTACTGGTCACTTTTTCCTTCCATATCAGCCAGCTGGAGTTGTGGCTATAGAACGTATTGTGCTGAGAGAAATCTGCAGAATGCCAATGAAGTTATACAGCGTTTGCCATGGACAGTTCGATCGATAAGCTTGGGAAAGCTTGGGAAATACATTTTTCTATGGGGATGGAGTGCTTTTGCGCTGCTCTTTGTGTTTGCGTTGGAGAAAAAATTTTATGGGATGCCTCTGGTGGAACCAAAGAGGATCTCTGCCAAAGAAGGAGATTTCGGAAGAGTCAGTAGTGAGAGACATTATCAAACTCAATAGCAGCCCAGCAGCACCATTGCTGGCATTTGAGTGCTCCTAAACCAAAACCAGAGCCTGGTTTAGGCTCCACCACGGTAACCATCCCGACAAGACCACCTTCGGGCACGAATTTTATCGGAAACACAGCTTGAGAAGCAAGGGTCTTGATTTATTCTGGCGTGCTGATCTTGGTAGCATTTGTTCGATTGGCCTTAAGAATTTGAGGTCCGAACAAATCAAGAGACCTCTGGAAGTTTGGCAGTGCTCATATTATTGTTTCATCGTGTTCTTGTGTGAGATGGCAAAGTATACAACACTCATATTCGCCGTGCTTTACTACATGCTTGGGTACTCTTGACAAACTGGATACTTTCTTCGGGTTACGTTCTTCACCACCTTTCCTATCTAAGACTAATAAGACTACAAGCTCTCTTTGATTAACATACCTGACCAACATCCTTTTACAATTTGGACACGTCGGGTATCCAAAACGCTAAAACATATGAGGCAGTCGCAAACATGAGCCTTCGCGGAGCCCATTTCACCACGGCAGGAATTCCAGCGTTGTTCGTCCAGCACGCTACCTGGAATTCAATCAAAATAAGTCTTTTTTTTTCCTCTTTTTTAGCACGAGAATTTCTCTCACCTCTGCACCGCTTAAGGAGCTCCATATTCTCAAACTTCCATCCCCGGAGCCTGAGATTCAATACTTATAGCTATCAGGAACTGATACAAACGAATGTTACCTGAGATAACATAGCGACCGTCTGGACTGAACGATGCTTCCAACGTTTCTTCGTCTCGACTGGGCTTGAGCGTGAATCCATGCATCTGGGAAGGAGCTCTCGGTATAGACTTAACGAGCGAGAGAGAAGTTTACCTTCTTTCCAGAGTAGGCATCAAGCAAATACACCCGGCTGTTTGTTGTGGAGAGAAGCATCATTTTACCATCGTTGCTAAACTTCATGCCAGCGACTTCCGCGGTATCACCACCCACGAGAAAAGTGTCAAAAGGTCCCTGAAGCATTCGTTCGGACTTTCATAAAATTATTGGAGAATCAATCACATCTTACCTTGTCGAAAGACCTTCCGTCAAACAGCTTGATTGCTCCGCCTTCCATGGCAACAGCAAATACCAGGCCTTGTTGATCATACGCCACAGACAGTCTTCCCCGGACTCTAAGAAGACCCTGAAATCATGGAAATGCTCTAGCCAAAGTTCTGGAAGAAAACGCAAGAAAAGAGTTTTTCTTACTTGGCAAACATTGCTGCGAAGATCCCACAACCGGACAGTGTGATCCAATGACCCAGACATGAAAGAATCGTTCTTTGGAGACATACATAGTGATACAACCCTGTGAGCAAAAGAAATAAAATAAGCATGGCCTTGGGTTGCTCCAAAGACTCACCTTTGCGTGTGTCCTCTGAAATATCGTAGAAATCTATTATCATACAACGATAGATACCGAAAGGACTCTGGAAACAAAGAAAGAACCTCAAACACACGAAAAAACGTTCTCTCTTACCATCACTTCCATTGCTGGAGGAAAAAATCACAGCATTGGTGTGATGCGTGAAACATATGTGATCCACGCCATATCTTGCACTGTAGAGAGTCTTCATGGGCCTGGATGGAGCAAAGAAAAGGAAACTTGAAACCTCCCAAGAACTCGGGGGAAAAAATCACCTACGTCGCAGTGGCAGTATCGTAGAGCCGAATGGACGCGTCCTCCGCAGCAGTCACCACGAGATCCTCCGTGCGATGAAAATCCAAGGAGCTGATCTTCCCCCCCTGTGGGACAAGATTGCTCCTGTAAGTTGATGAAAGACTTTCCATGTTTTGTTCACTCGAACGATGTAAACCGTGTGACTTCGCACTGACGAGCAGGGCATTGCAAATTACCAAGGTCTTCCCTTCCAAACCTCTAAAGGACCATGCAAATCAGCAATCGTCAATGGATCAATCAAATGAGAACGCAAAGGTGATCCATATTTCGTGAGGAAAAAATATTCTATATACTTTATAATGGATCAAACTCTTCAACTATAGATTGGTTTATCTGGGACCAGACGGCTGGTGTGCTACCATGGCCACACTGACGCTACCACCAAGATGGTTAGTCGAAGAGAACCGAAGAACTCCCGCAGAACTCAACGCAAACCGGAAGAAGAGAGGCGGCTCCAAAATCTCCTTTCGACCTTCGAGCATCTGGACGACTGTATCCATCGGGGGTCTTTGGCTGGGATTATCCTGGATGCACCACAGAGCTACCTGGAGCATACTTTTCACCTCGTCCTCGTCCACACTATCTCGGATCCTTGTATCCACGACTTTGAGAAACTCTCTCTTGGAGACTCGAGCTACGACCCAGGCCGGGAAGTACCACCACAAAGCTTGTTCCTCCTCGTCCATTGGAGCTTCACAACAGTCTTCTCCACCATGGCCGCCAAGCTTGGACAAGTTCCTTCGTCCACCTATGAGCTCCAGCAGCACCATACCATAGCTGTAGACGTCGCATTTCTTCGTGGCTACCGAATGTAAGAGCCACTCCGGGGCGAGATATCCTGGAGTACCTCGAACATCAGTCACAGTCTGGCTTACATCCCGAGTCTTGAGCAGCTTCGCCATGCCGAAATCGGAGAGCTTGGGACGAAACTTATCGTCTAGAAGGACGTTCTCGGGCTTGATGTCGAGATGGATGATCAGCTGCCGCGATTCCTCGTGCAAGTAAGCCAGGCCTTGAGCTACTCCCAAGGCAATATCGCGGCGGCTCTGCCAGTCCAAGCATCGATCTTCGAACAGCCACTTATCCAAGGATCCATTCACCACGTACTCGTAGACGAGCATGAGCTGGTTCTTCTCGGAGCAAAAGCCATAGAGCTGGACAACGTTGTGGTGGCTTATCCGTCCCAGCGAGGCCATCTCCGCGAGAAATCCCCTGTCACTCTGGTTCCGGTTCTCCAGGCGCTTGACCGCCACCTTTCTCCCGTCCGCCAGAGTCCCTTCATAGACGGTTCCAAAGCCGCCTTTACCAAGGCTCGAAGCGAAGTTCCCAGTCGCCACCTCCAGCTCCTTGTATGTATACTTCTGAGCCGAGCCTTGCAGTGCCAGAGCCAAAGCACGCTCAACTTTGTCAAGCCTGTGCTTCCAGATCATCAGCACGACCAAGCCGAGAGCTGATAGCAGGACCACGCTCGCAGCAATGCTGACTCCAAGCAAAACGGTGCGATCCTTGGGCTTCTTCCGCACGAAAAGCTCTGCGTTTTGCAGCTTGAGGAAGCCATCGAAGTTGGGATCCCTGGTGAGGCCTCCATACATCCGGTCGACGAAGAAACAGGTGCTCGACTGCTTGTTGTAGAAGAGTGCGCTGCAGGAGAAATTCGCTAGGCACAAGCTCCAGCACTCGCTCAAGGTGGAAACTCTGTCGGCTTTGGTGTAATTGTTGGAGAAGTAGCCGGCTCCACTCACGTTGAGAAAGTGGTGGTTCTCGGCCTCGACTTCGTGGTTGCAAACGAGAGGTATGCTGCTCGGACTTGGGCAAGTTTGCTCCTGATGGCCACTCTGGTCTTGGACTATACAGCTGCACTGAGCGTTCCCAGAGCAAACGCTGTTCGATTCGCATGCCATCGGGAGGCAAACGCTGTTCGATTCGCATGCCATCGGGAGGCAACCTCCAAGTCTGTTCCTCATGAACGGCGGACCCTGTTCCCACGAAGCTCGTCCAGAGTTGTAGGTGTAAGGAACCAGCTTCCCATCGATTTCAAGTTTGAGATACTGCCAGTCATCGCTGCTGTTCCCGAGTACTGCTGTGAGAGGAGCGCTGCAGAGCTGGGAAGGGTTGCTCGTCGATGGCTGGTACGATAGTATCAGTTGGCCAGCGGAATACTCGAGCTCTGTGTGATAAGTCGGGCATGGTGCGTTGATGGAAGTCTCGTCCATTGGCAAGTTTCCATTGTATAAGTTCCAAACCAAGTAAGGCTGTCTTGTGTCCCGGTTGAGGAAAAAGATGAGACCGCTCGGCTCAACTTCCATCTTTATGTTCCCGCTAGCAAGACTTGATGAATTGGCGCTGCTGATAAGTCTCTGCTTAGTTACCATAACTTGTCCTTCTAAAAGGATATCTGTAGGATGGTCGAAGCTCTGCCAGGAGATCCCACCCGTGGAGTTGTAGAGGACAAAGTTCCCAGTGTCTCGAAGCTCCATCTCAGAAACTCCACCAGGAGAACTCCATACAACCTTCCCATCCCAATCGGCAACTTCCAGAGCTCCCTGACCGGTCACACGAACGGTAGCATTTTCTGTCACAGGACTGTCCCGGTTTGCAGCCCAGACGCAGACGCCAGAGTTCGTGTTGTTGCTGGAGCCAAGAACCAAAGCAAAGTAGAACTCGGCCGAGTTGTGGAATCGAAAGAAAGACAAGCCAAATCTTCCGCTCTGGCTCATGAGAGGACTGTCACCTGCTCGGAGCAGCCGATAACTGGCATTGGCCTGTGATCCTTGCAATTCCAGAAGCTGATTGTTGTTCGTTACTTCCCAGCCGTGTGATAGACTGTAGTTCCTGCCGTGCACACGAAAGAGAATTGTCATCAGCTGAAAGAAAGCGACCAAAAAAATCTTCATAGCCATGAACCATGAAGCAGAATGCGCTAGCTATTTTCGTATCTATAGAAAGGGAGCGGTCCATTCACTTGACTCATTCATATTCATACTTCTTCCACTTATTCCAGTCTCGAGTACCAACTGTTACCGAAAGTTTGATTAGTCTTTGCTTGAAAAGAAGTCTAGTCTTCAAGACTTTTCCAAGTCTTGAAAGTAAGGACTTACGTCTCGTATAAGCAGGTGTTCTCAATGCAGAACGGCAGCAATGCAAAAGCAAAAGGTTTCACAGGTTGCTAAGGCGTTGTTCCTGGAACTAATAATGCTCCTCACAGTTACTTCTGAAGGGAAGTTGTACACGATACCTGATAAATGGCGCATTTTCATGAACAACAGTCTCCCAGAATTCCAAGGCGATGGCAGATCCGGGAGTTATCGCCTGGTGAGTGCTCTTCCAAAGGATAACCCTTCTAGCATTGTTATCAAGATTAAGAAGATGAATGTACTGCTCACCATACCCATTGTAGATAGGGCTTGCTTGTTGCGCAGCTTTTAGTCTGCTAGTTCGGGAGCACCTTGGGCTGGTTCAGGTTCTTTGCCTGTGACAATCCCATCGCAATTATCACACAAGAAAACAACCTTCAAGAGGGCAGCCCAATTTGCAAAATCTCTTTTTGTACAAAGGGATAAAACACTGCTCCAATGCAGTGGCAGCAGTACTACTGCTCGCCATGTTCTGCTGTACTTTGTGTAGTCAGCGGTTGTTGATCAGAAAGCACAGGTCTCTCCTAGCATGGTGAACCATCAGGATCTACAATCTGATACCATGATAATGTTCTGAGGAGACGCTAGAAAACAGGGTACATGGCCATGGCCATGGCCACCAGCGTCTGACCTAACTACCCCGTGCCACGTGGCAGAAGCCTGCCTTGAGTAACCATCAATCCAATATCGCCTCCAACTTCCAGCATGTGTGAATAAGCACCACGTTTAAGCGTCATATTGTCCCAAGCTTACAGCCATGTCGAGTTGTTGACATTTGCCATATCATCAATCTCTAACAATACAAGTGATGCTTGATACAATTGTGAGAATCCAAGGCCATAGTGCACTCCTTTGATGCAAACCGTGTTCATAGACCACATCCTCATGGTCTGACCGAGAGGGTATAACCAAATGCCCACCTTTGAGTCAAAATGAAATGGCTTTAGAACATCATACCCTCGCTTGTGTGTAAGGTATCAGCATTTGAGTGCGAGCTATTGAGGGTTGCATTGATGGAATCTCCACCCATTGCTTGGTCACTGGGTTTCCAACCATGAAAGGCCTTTTGGAATAACAAGAAGATAATTCCCTGGGCAGACAAAACTACTTGCAACCCATGCGGGGCAAACCAGTTCTCAATAGATATTTCTTTCCCCATCAGACTCCATGCTGGTTACTTCTAGAAGCGTCTGAGCTCGTTGAATGAAGTATACCCTTGGTGCAGAAACAGGAACTTGGTGTCATTGTTCCGTGAAGTATGGATGCCGTCGCAAATGAAACCATTGCTTACACGCCGGCTGCAGCCGCAAAACATCTTCGGCTGGTAGAAAGGACAGTACATGAGCATTCCATCTCGACTGGGCTTGAGCGTGAATCCATGCATCTGAGAGGAAGCTCTCGGTAGATTTGATGAACGAGAGAGAATCATACCTTCTTCCCAGAGTGCGGGTTCAGCAAATAGAGAAGCCTAATTTTGCCACCAGCGACTTCCACGGTATCAACACCCACGAGACGGAGTTTAAAACACTCGATGCATCGGAGAAATCAATTACGTCTTACCTTATCAAAAGACCTTATGTCCCTACGTCAAACAGCTTGATTTCTCAACAGCAAATACCAGGCCTTGCTGAAGACGGTCTGAGAAAGTTCCGAAAGAAAGGAAAGAGGCTTTTCTTACTTGGCAAACGTTGCTGCGCAGATGCCACAACCGGACAGTGTGATCAAATTACATGAACGAATCGTTCTTCGGGGACACTTCACGACCAAGCCCTCCATTGCTTTTTCGTCCTGGGAAGATTTGTCGAAGAGTCAGCAACCAGAATTACTCCAGGTTGCTGCATGTTGACAACTCATCGTCAGACACTCTAAAGCGCGTCACAGTGTACGAAGGAATGGATGAACCTAGTGGTGAGGAAACTAGTCCAGTTTGTTCCTGCTGGTGGAAAAAATCCATCTGTTCCAAGGAACCATTGGACATGAGCTCGTAGACGAGCAGCCTTCTGAAGCATTGGAAGCGACTTATGTTTCCCAGAGCCGAGACTTCTGTTACCAACTCCTTTTGTCCATGCTGTGTCACTGCTCAAGGACTGGCCTACTTGTAGACGTTGCATTTCTTTTTCGCTGTTGAGTGAATCAGCCTCTCTGGAGCTAAGTAGCCTGGAGTTCCTCTCACTCCAGTGACCATTCTATTCCGACTGTCAATGAGTAGTTTCGCTATTGCGACTTTGGCCTACTTGTCACCCAGGATGTTGGCTTGAGATCCAAGTGGATGGTCGAGTCTCTGAATTCCTCGTGGAGACTGCTCCAAGATCAAGTCACCACTCCCGGCCTGGGCCATGAGCGAAATCCAGAAAGGGAACACGATGCAAGTGGTGTTAAGGACTCAGAGGCAAGCAAAGAATCTAATCCAGATGACTAATGCAATGGTGCGAATCTTCATTTACCTTCCGGTTTGGCATATCTTGATTACACTTAACCTTTCATTTTACGCAAAGATATTTCTAATATTAGTCTTGGAAGTGTGTTAATGCAAGAGAGCTTGAGTGTGTCGAGTCAACGCCATCCTATTGTATATATCAAATGTATATTACAACTAGTAGAGGTGAATTACTCCATGATAGAGAAGGAGTGTTTAGTAACAGTTTGGGGTTTCTAGAAACTTCATGCACATTTACATGATTTGTAAAGGATATTAGAAGGTGATCATGCTATAATTCTTTCATTATTGAAGTGAAAGTACTTGGTTGATTGTACTATTTTTCCCTTTTGCGATCCCTTTGATGGTTTTTGTGTTGTAGTAGTTGATCAACTTATGAAGGAGTATACTAATCTCTTTAAATTTAACTTATTGTCTAGGGCCAAAATTACCATACATCATCCAATTCCAATTGGGGATGCTTGTCCAATCAAAGTTCCTGTTTGTCATTAATCACCCAAAGAGATCAAGATTTTACATGAAAACGTTAAGGAAATGTTGGAAAAGTGTATTATTTAAAGTCACGGAGTCCTTGGGCATGTGAATTTCATTTTGTGACAAAATTTAATGAAAATATTCATTTCTACATTGATTATTACTCATTAAACGAAGTGATGATCCCAAATGTGTACCCTCTTCCTCATATTGCTGATCTCTTGGATCGTCTAGGGAGAAGTTGTTAATTCACCAAGTTAGATCTTGTTTCTGGGTATTGACAAGTACTGATAGCAGAATAAGATATTTCTAAGATTGCTTTTTGTACACTATTTGGTTTGTATGAGTTCTTGGTGATACTATTTGGTTTGAACAATGCTTTAGCAACTTTCTAGTATATGATGGACAAGGTTCTTTGTGATATGCCGAAGGTGACTACTGACTTCATTAATGATGTCTTAATCCATTCGGAGGGGACATGGGAGGAACATGTCTATGATGTTTGTAAAGTGTTAGATTGGCTATGGGAAGTTGGTTTAAAGCTGAAATAGTTGAAACGCATGTTTGGGTCCAAGGACACGACTTATCTTAGGTACCATATTTCTCATAAGGGATTGCAAGTTGATCATGACAAACTTGTGGTTAATCTAAAATCCTCTACTCTGAAGTGTGTGAATGATGTGTAATGCTTTCTGAGTAAGATGTAATATCTTGGTCATTTTATGGATCATTTCCTAGGTAAGGTGCAATATCTTGGTCATTTTATGGATCTTCTTTTTTATCGCATTACGCCGTTGCAAGTGTTGTTAAAGTTATCAACATCATTTTTCATCTGGTCTACAAACTGTGAACAGGCGTTCATGAATCTTAATGAGCTATTGACGACTACTTTGGTTTTGGCATATTCTGACTACACTTGACTTTTCATTTTGTGCATGGATGTTTATGGAGTTGTGTTAATGCAAGAGAGCTCATGCATATATAAGTTGTATATTGCAACCGATAAAGGCAAATTACTCCACAACAAAGAATGAGTGTTTAGTAGCAATTTGGGGTTTCAAGAAAACTTTATGCATATCTACATGGTTCTTAAACATTACTAAAAGGTGATCATGGTGTAGTTATTTCATTATTGAAGTGGAAAAACCTAGTTGGTCGTATTGCTCAATGGGTTTTGAAGCTTTAGGTATATTATTTTGATGTTGTTCATCACCTAAGGAGTTCTATAGCTGATGCTAATACCCTTTCTTGACTCCTTTTCCTTATTTACTCTCTTCTCATATTTTTGATGAGCTTGTTGTTCCAGTATTTATAAATTTTCTAAATGAGGATTTTGTGCCATCGGTAGTTGTACTTGACATTCAATGTCCACAAAATGCAAAACAAGATTTACCTTCTCTTGATGAGGTTCATGAGGCTTAAAAGATTGAGCCATGGTTTCAAAGGTTAGTTGAGATTTCTACATCACTTGCTAATGACTTGTTATTCTAGTATTTACATTCTCAATATCACCTTGAAAATGACATTCTTTATTTTGTGGGGACGGATCCTAATAATCATTTACAACTGGTGGTGCCTTTAATTTTTATTGCATGGTTTCTCCATGCCAACCATGTGTAAACTCCTGAATTTGGACTTCTCGGGAGGTCACCCAGTTCAGTACTATTCAAACCCAAGCACAATTAACCCCAAATATCCCAAGACCCTTAACCAATTGGAAAAGGGGGTGCATTCTTGTTCATGGGCCCTTTCCCTCTATATTTGAACCCCAATGAATCATCTCTCAAGTCGTTCTTTTTGGTTGTTTACACCATGATTCTTCTATTCTATGTGGGTATATAGGACATTGTTGTGT